GCAAAGTAAAGTGGAAGTGACAGGCCAGTGAGAGAAGTAATAGTCTCTGACATGAGGCATTGAAGACCCCTCACCTTCACTCTAACACAGCCTGCACGGAGTGAATAGAGGCTCAATCTCAACGCAAACCAACTAATAATGTTCCTCAGCAACTCTGAGCTCATTCCAGCACTATAACTTAAATTAGTTTGGAAATAACTCTCTAAAAAATTATTGCTTCAGAGTTTAACAACCTTTACCGTGGTCTAAAAGTTGTGATTTGCCTTGCGGTCTCGAGGCAGTGTCTTAGAAAGCAGCATGCCAATTCTGTTTGAAACAAGATAGTATTTTTGCTCTTCAATATGCCCTTCACAGTGTCAATAACTTCTGAAAAGCTTCTCAATTATTGAATTCTATGGAACGCAGTGCCGCAAAAGGTCACGTGGACTTACAAGAGGAGATAACAAAATTAATTAAAGGCAGCTGGGCTTTTGGAGCAATGGACGGAGGTGTGGAAGATAGCAGCCGCACAACGGCCAAATCCCCTGGCCATTTCTGTCATTGTTGCGAGGAAAGGGAGAGGGACCGTGCATCCCATAATGAAAAAGAGAAACATGCCAATCAGATGAAAAATGTCAAAGGCGAATGACGCAGCCCTGCTTTAATGAAATGAATAATTTGCCAAAAATACTCAGCGTTGTTTAATGCCTTAATGTCACCAAATGTAAATATATTCTGTCAGTTTGTATTGCGAAGATTTTTATAAAAGCCGCCCACTCTCTTGTGCAAATGTATTTTTTTTTCTTATTAGAAAGAGAAAAAAATCCTACAATTAAGCTGTTCAACTGGTTTTTCCTGAAAAGTATCAACCATATTTTGAGACTGTCTGAGAATTAGATAGTTAAAAAAAAAATTGACACAGTAATTGAGCATTAGAAGATTATTGATGGTGATGGACTACATAGACATGCAAACAGGTGAAGAAAGGAAGAAAGAAATCAAGCAGAAAGGAAGAAAGAAATCAAGCAGAAAGGAAGAAAATGTAGTGATAAGGCACAGAGAGACGGTCATGCGTGTCAGAATGGGGCCACACTGCTGCTATGTTGTGCCAAAGTGCATGTTAGTGCAAGCACCCATGGAAGACTGGCTCAATGAGATGACAGGCTCGGAATTACATAAACAAAAGAGTACGAGCGAGAGAGGCGGTGCTGTCACGCCGACTCTGCGTGACGCTGCCTGCTGGGCTCGGGGAAGAGCCTTGTAATGGGCCAATTACCTATGCAAACTGACAAATGGAAACAATAGGGCTGTCTCCTCCATCCCTACTTTACTTGCTTTTTTTAATATATCAATCCCTGTCACCAACTTAAACAACTGTAAATAGCATATAAACCCATTCTGACTGCGTTTGTTCCCATTAACGTCAGGTAATGGGCGTTAATAAAAAAGTTTGAATCTTACAGAACATTTTGAGATTGGTTTCGGTCACAGCATGCTGTCATTACTGAAAATGAACCTGTGATTATCATTACAAACAACCCAGTAATGTAGAGATCAGGCTCTCCCTGTGAGAATGCAAATGCCCTCCGCAGCTGCTGTATTCAATGAATCTGATGCAGAACAAAGTCTCAGTTCCTCTCTCAAGAGCCTATATGGTAATTCTCAATGGGAGAAGTCAATTACCCACATAAGAGATAAGATATCTATGGATGCACTCAAGCGCAGGTTAAATTAGATGTCTAGAGCAGAGAAGAAGATAAAAAAGGAACAAAGTCTTTAATGTGCATTAGAACAAGTGGGTGCTTTAAAGAGCAAACTAAAGACTTGAGTCAACATGAAATCAAAACCAACACTTTAATGTAATGAAGTTATTGCGATAAAAGCACACACACACACACACACATATATATATATATATATATATATACACTAACCGGCCACTTTATTAGGTACACCTGTCCAACTGCTCGTTAACACTTAATTTCTAAGCAGCCAATCACATGGCGGCAACTCAGTGCATTTAGGCATGTAGACATGGTCAAGACAATCTCCTGCAGTTCAAACCGAGCATCAGTATGGGGAAGAAAGTTGATTTGAGTGACTTTGAACGTAGCATGATTGTTGGTGCCAGAAGGGCTGGTCTGAGTATTTCAGAAACTGCTAATCTACTGGGATTTTCACGCACAACCATCTCTAGGGTTTACAGAGAATGGTCCGAAAAAGAAAAAACATCCAGTGAGCGGCAGTTCTGTGGGCGGAAATGCCTTGTTGATGCCAGAGGTCAGAGGAGAATGGCCAGACTGGTTCGAGCTGATAGAAGGGCAACAGTGACTGAAATAACCACTCGTTACAACCGAGGTATGCAGCAAAGCATTTGTGAAGCCACAACACGCACAACCTTGAGGCGGATGGGCTACAACAGCAGAAGACTCCACCGGGTACCACTCATCTCCACTACAAATAGGAAAAAGAGGCTACAATTTGCAAGAGCTCACCAAAATTGAACAGTTGAAGACTGGAAAAATGTTGCCTGGTCTGATGAGTCTCGATTTCTGTTGAGACATTCAGATGTTAGAGTCAGAATTTGGCGTAAACAGAATGAGAACATGGAACCATCATGCCTTGTTACCACTGTGCAGGCTGGTGGTGGTGGTGTAATGGTGTGGGGGATGTTTTCCTGGCACACTTTAGGCCCCTTAGTGCCAATTGGGCATCGTTTAAATGCCACGGCCTACCTGAGCATTGTTTCTGACCATGTCCATCCCTTTATGGCCACCATGTACCCATCCTCTGATGGCTACTTCCACCATGTCACAAAGCTCTAATCATTTCAAATTGGTTTCTTGAACATGACAATGAGTTCACTGTACTAAAATGGCCTCCACAGTCACCAGATCTCAACCCAATAGAGCATCTTTGGGATGTGGTGGAACGGGAGATTCGCATCATGGATGTGCAGCCGACAAATCTGCGGCAACTGTGTGATGCCATCATGTCAATATGGACCAAACTCCCTGAGGAATGCTTCCAGCACCTTGTTGAATCTATGCCACGAAGAATTGAGGCAGTTCTGAAGGCAAAAGGGGGTCCAACCCGTTACTAGCATGGGGTACCTAATAAAGTGGCCGGTGAGTGTATATATATATATCTGACTATAAGAAAAACTGAAATATAGAACCTGTATGACACTATTTTCCTGTGGAACACACATATATATTTTGAAGAAGGGTCCAAAGATGTTTTGGGTCATTTAGTTTCACAATATCTTTTTTTGTGTCATACAGGATTGGAATGACATGAGGGCGAGTAAACGATGACAGGATAGTAATTTTTGGGTGAACTATTGCTCAGATACAAGGATATTTTGGAAGCTTGCTGTCTGCCACATGATGCTAAACTAATCAGCCAGCTGCAAGTAATGAGTATTTCAGTCGATTTCCTCCACTTCCAGTCGATTTTCATTTTGTGTTAAACCCATTTATGCTTAGAGCTTACTATCTTTACTTTCAATAAACATACATTTTAAACCATAGTTATAGACTAAAATCACACTTAAATTACATGTGATGCAAGCCTAAAATCATCTTTGTGATTCTGAAAGGCTCAAATTACATAAGTGCCCACTGAACTGACTAGGGTCACATGTAAAATTGCTGCATTACATCTAGAACGTTGACTTCCTCACAATCTGCATGTATAACAAAGAAGGTTTGTATAACCCTCGTGTTTGATAAGGCTGCATCCATAAAGATCATGGTCTAAGAATTCCAGCAACGTTAATTCCAAAGATCTTACTGCAAGGTCATCTGGCTGCTTAATAAACCAGAACACTAAACCAAAGTTCTCATCTCTGAGGACGCATGCACTCTAATTGCAGTGAGGTCATAATTTTGTGTTACACCTACTTGGTTTTATTAAGTAGGTCCCAGTTGGGATAAAAAAAAAAGCAATTGTGCTTAGTACAGCAAGAACAGAACTCTTATACAGAAACTGATTCGCAGGGTCTCAGTAATGCCTGATAACACAGAGTTTAATGTAGTGTAGCATTACTAGAATAAGCTGACTGTTACAGGGCCTGTCATTTAGTCAAGCCTCAGTGTTTCTCAAACCAAAGGAAACTGCAGGGATATTTCACATTACTGAGCTGAATCAGCAGTGCCAGACCAATGACCTGGGGTACACCACGTACAGCTGCTCACATTCAAACTTCAGAGAGAATATGAGTGGCTCATCTGCATCTTAATATCGTCCGCTGTGTATGTCAGAGTACAGTATTAAAGGGAGAGTTCACCCAAACATGACAATTCAGTCATCATTTACTCACCCTATAGTTGTACAATACAATGAAAGTATGTGGGGCTCAATATTGTTTTGGAACCCATTGACGTTTAATGTATGGACTAAAACAGTTGAAACATTCTTCAAAATATATTAATTTCTGATCCACACAAGAAAGTAAGTCTTGAAAAAAAGTCAAAGAAAATGACAGAATTTTCATGTTTGGGAAAATCTTTCTTTAAGGTCCTTTTGTTTAATATAATACTGCAAAAAGGAAGAGACTGTATAAAGGCTGGCTAAATTCTCCATCTTTGGTAGATACAGATGAAATAGTGTTATGATTTTACTGAATTCCTTGGGTATCTGTCATCCATTGTGGATGAAGTAGCTAAAACATTCTCTATTATCTGGTTATTGATTTTTGATACAGCAGCTACAAGAGACAAAAAGAGCACTCAAAACAGGAAGTGTTCAGCTCTACTGCAGCAGACAGGTCTATTTTCTTTCTAAGCCCTGGGAGCTCTGGGCTCTGATGAGGATTTATTTTAAAACAGCTGGGCTGCTGTGGTCAGACCCTGTTGGTGTGATGGATTTTTTTGGGGTGGTCGACCGGAGCAAGACTTTGCCTCCTTCACTTGAGGTCATTTCAGCTCAACAGAGGCTTACGGTGTTGTTGACAAAAGGCTGAGATGTTATAAGAGAACTGACAGTGATAAACCCACATACTCTGTCAAGGTACTGACCTCTCCTTGTAGTCCAGAAAGATCTTTCCCAGGCCGTTCCCCCCGCTCACCATGGTCAGGTCAATGGCCCTCAGCAGAGCAAAATGGACCTTGATGATGTCCTGTGTAAACAAAGAATTGCTAACATCCACCAAAGCATTGTTAATCTATTTGTTGTGCCATACTTTTGTCCCCTCAGAATCAATCACTTGCTGTCAGAGACAAGTTTTTGCGTGAAAGAGGAATCAATTCGGTGTTTGAGTGCTGTCTGAAACGTAACTCTCTCTCTCTGCACTTCGGGTGTGTGAGGCTGTGCGCACAGATGACAGTGCACGAGTCCTGATTTTCGCCGCTTCTTCTGCATTTAAAATCGTTTAAATTGGCAAGACAAAACACATCCAAATGATAAACTTTCGCTCTATGATGGTTAAACTTAGCAGTTAATCCGCGAATCACATGCCGAACCGTGAGGCCTGGTCCGTACGGATCATGGATCAACTGTGATCCGTTGCACTCATAATTAATGAACACACTTATCATCATGATTGCTATCTTACCAGACATGGTGAAAAGTCCAACTCCAGTAAGTAAATGTGTCAAAGTAAATGGCTCAAAAGAAACAGTATGCAATTGGGAGAGTGTTTTTACCACAGCAGTGTGCAGTGGATTAAATAATTTACTAGATTAACGATCGATCAATCAACAAATTAAACTCTTACTAAAAAACGTCATTCGAATTTGACATAATCAATTTTCTTGTCCCAAATAGTCAATATAATGCAGAGGAAACTGTAAAATGAACTGCAGCAGTGCTACTTGCATCATAAAATTACAACACTCAAACTATAAATGTATGAATTAAACTCACTGAGACTGTCGACAGTTTATTTTCCATGCATCATTTTATTATATCCATGTATGTGGTTACAGTCAAATCATATAAAACAGTGAAATCGCCCTCAAACTCTTCCGTCTCGCCTGCACTCGAGACGGTTTTCAGCTCCACTGAAAGTCTTCTTTCCTATTGGTAGTCGCTCGCGAAAATCGCTTCTCATTTGCATAAAGCTTAAATTTTTGTCGGGTGTATCGCGTCGTTTGACGCCCACATTCTGTCGCCAATGGACACTGTCGCTCGTGTCACCTAAAGTCGCCAGCGACTTGGTGTCCTTGTTAGCGCCCGGCAATCCTCGTTCGAGACCAGCCCGGAGAGAGCTGTAAAGTGTTTGTGAATTTTGGAGGCGGAGCAATGAAGACAGGGGTGGGTTTGTTTGGGTTGATTTCAAATATCAACAGTGTTCAACAACGATTTTGGGAGATCGCATACTGCACCTTTAGTAGGCTTCCCTTCTCAATACACTCCATATAGCGCTCTTTGTGGCGAACAATGCCATATACTTTGTTGGACATTGAACAGATACAGAAATTGTTTCTGCTATGCACTGGTAGGGTGGTATTTGAAAAATTCATATTGTACGCAAAATTAAAACCAGTATACTGGTTAAATACCGCCCAGTGCTAATTATTTTCTGTGTGATTTCTATATTCAGAATAAAGGAATTTAGAAGTTCAATACAGACACACAAGATCATCAAATCCGAATAGACTTATATTATTTATATAACGTCAGAAGAAAATGAAAATTAATTAAAATTAATTATCAAAGCTCTGATGTATCTGAAAGTATATGTAATATCAGCTATTTGAATATTTTGATGCATATTATTTTAGATATTTCTTTTTTACATTATATCTTGTAATTTTTTTTAATGCACTTTATTTTTTTTAAACAAACAAATGTGTTACTTGAGGTAATAGCTCAGGGTCTTGTCACCTTGGTTGGTCTTATTTTTAGTTAGGTGACAGGATCATGACGCTCATGTTGATTATTTTGTCCTTGTGTGAGCGTACGGCTTTGGAATTGTTCTCTGGGTGGTGTTTGTCTGAGCACATGGCTTCTGTCATGTTTGGTTGCCATGTTCTCCTGTCTTGTCTTGAGTGTTTGCCTGAGCACATGGCTTCTGTCATGTTTGGTTGCCATGTGCCTTTTGCACATGACTTTTGTTTGTTTCTGTGTGCCATGTGATATTCTTTCAGTCTGTAGTCTTGGCCACGCCCTCTTGTTAACTGATTATTGGTTTATTGATTTATCTTTTTGAGCTTCCCTGGCTGTTCTGCGTTTGGGTTCTATCAGCAAATCCTAACAAATATTTAGTAAATTCAACAAGTGAACTACAAAAATATGAGATTTTAAATAATTACTTTACACTATTGGCAAACTTTGTTATGAAAAAAATCGTATGAAAAAATATAAATGTAAAATACCTTAAATACTTTAGGCTGAAAATGAAAAGTACTGTAAATGATCACTCACCTCTAAATTTACAAATATGGCCTCCATCTCCTGTGGCAATAAGACTTGCTTCAGGGGCATCATATAATTCTAAAAATGTAAAATAGAAGAAAATCTCACAAATGCCAAAAGCCCATATGGCAAAAAAAAAAAAAAAATGGAAATGGAAATTCATTCAAAGTCAAAGCATACAATCAAACACTTGTAATGAGATTGCTTACACCTTGTTGTGGTTTGGTAATTGTCTTTGACAAACAAGTAAAATACTATGTCTAGTGTTCCTGTGGGTAGGCTTTTCAAACATAAAAAAACCCTATTTGTTTAATTTGCAAAGCAAAAAGAGATTCCAGTGCAATACTGACATGTTTGTCTTAATTAGGATTAAATGAATCAAACGATAATCAGTAAACAAAGCCTCTGTCTGGAATATGAAATCTGCATGACCCCCCACTGTTTTGACGGATTCATCACCCCTACTAACAGCACACTGTCACGCTTAAAATTCTGTCTGTTGTGTGTGACAGCGCAACTGGAAAAAGGGCAGGAATAAACATCATACACTCAAGTTTGTATGATTTGTACATACAAGCATGCATGCATGCAATAACCCCCCAGGGCAAGATTCAATCTTTTGCCAACAGTATTGGTTTACTAAACAGACACGTTTTCTCACTTTGAGGTCAGCGCATGGCATTTCTGCCCTGTTGTCTGACCCCAGGGTCCAGGGGGCAAAGGGAGGACACACATCAAGAAAAGCACAGTTTTACGCTGTAGCCTAAAACATTGCCAAGACCGCTATTTGCATTATTTTCCCTACATGACATCAGCAAAAAAGAAAAGTTGTTTTTAGATGTTTATGCTTTAAAAGACTCCAAAGCAAATCTGGCAGACCGATTAGCCAATAATAATTATATTATGGCCAATAACTGAGAAATGACATGACCAATAACTGAGAAATGGCAGATATTTTTTTTATTTATTAATTCAAAAATATTTTGTCTAAATAAATAACAATAAAAACTAAAATAAATTGATTTAAAATGAATTTAAATTAATTACAAGGGTAAGCTAAATATAAAAAGGGGGGAATGGGCATGAACAATTGAACATCCAATATCGATAAATGAAAAATGTTCAATTCTATTATAGGCCAATAACTGTTGTGGTTCAGATATACTGTGCATCCCTATTTTTTTTCTTTGGAATAAAATGCATCAATGATTTGTGCCCAATAAAACCGTGTATTAATTCATCAGGCCACCGAAGTACATTTGTCAACTAATGCTCAGTTCTCATCTTTTGTCCTCTCTCTCCATCTATTTTAAGTTGCCTAACTGTCCTCAGAGAACCATAACAAGACCTTGACCCAGTTCCAGGCCTTCATTTCCACTCTCTCTAGCTCTAAGACTCACTACCCTGTCCCACTCACCTTCTCAATGTCCTCCAGTGTCTTGTAGTACTTTGCCTCTGTCTCCTGAATCTCCACCAAGCAGCAGTTTCTCTTATCATCTTCTGTCATGCCCATTTTCTGTTATGGAAAGAAGAAAAAGACACACAAACCATGTTGGTATTGTCCTGCAGGATACTAGCTCAGCTCCTTTAAACAGCTACACAAGGTACCGAACATTTATTTTTAAAGGAATTCAGGCCACAATCAGGATGGCCAAAGCACATTACAGTAAAAGACAAAGGTGGACAGAGTTTTTCACAACAAAACCTCAAGGACAACGTTGACAAGGAAGCAAGAGCAAGAGTTTAGTCTTTCATTCATTCAAAACAACATATACTTCTAAGCCTAAAGTTCTCTATCTCACACACACACACACACACACACACACTCACACACACACACACACAAACTGTATGAAAGTCATAAATGTGGTTTTGATTAGGACTGAGGAATTAAATGAGGTCAATTCACAAAACAATAACAACAGAAAATGATCTAATAGAACACGATGCATTTGATTAAGCATAATCACTGGGGTCTTGGTGTAATGCGAGCAGGTTGGCGAGCTTAAGAAAATGGTGATAACACTGGAGCCCAGGGAAGGCACAGCAGCCGGAGGTCAGAGCTGGAATGAACATCACAGCACACATTTGAACATCTGGGCCTGGTGGTGTACGAGGCCAAAGAAAACTTGCCCACATCCAGAGAAATTCAAGATCACAAACAATTGTTTCATTAGAGAGCAAGTTGGACAAAAAAAAGGGATTTTTTTCCAAAGGGCCGCCTAGCAACAATGAAAGCAGTCAGTATTGGGAAAGGGAAATATATCTGTGACTTCCACTGACTAATGTGAAACTCCAGTGTCTATTGTATTAAAAGATAAAGAAGATATAATTAGCGAAAAGCCACAAAACAGTTCAGAATCTTGGTCTCTGAAGCTCTTTTTCCGCCATGTTTTTCTTATCACCCTCATTTAAGTTGCTGTATTTGGCCCACTAAGAGTCTAATGTGTCCTTCTTGTAGCATGTGTCTGATGACACAGATTGTGAGTCTCAGTCTAAGTATGTGTTTGTGTATCTCTGTTAAGGTGGGACCCGGCAGTTTTCTCTGTCTGCAGAAGAGATTTCCTCCCTCGTGTGTTTAAAATAACCCAACATTAGCTCACTCTGTGAGACAGCACACACTCAGATGGACACTGAGTCAGCCTCCCCTCCTTCTCATTTCTAGCAGAGGAAGAAAGACGCTCCTCTCTGGGTACCGAGAACCAGTTTTATTTTAGCACTCTTTCCAAATTTAATAATAATAATTTGTTACATTTATATTGTGCTTTTCTCGACACTTAAAGCACTTTACATATGGAAGAGGGGAATCTCCTCAACCACCACCAGTGCAGAATGCACCTGGATGATGTGACATCAGCCATATTGTGCATGAACGCCCACCACACACCAGCTTATTGGTGGAGAGGAGACAGAGTGATGAAGCCAATCAGTATATATATGGGGATTATAAAGAGGCCATGATGGAAGGAGGCAAATGGGGCCAAGAGGTAAATTTGGTCAGGATGCAGGGGTTACACCTCTACTCTTTTTGGAAGGATTTTTAATGACCAAAGACAGTCAGGACCTTGGTTTAACGTCTCACCCAAAGGACAGTGCTTTTTGACAGTATAGTGTCCCCATCACTATACTGGGTTGGTTGTTAGGACCAGACAGACCACAGGGTGAGCAACCCCTGCTGGCTACAATTTCCAAGAACCGTTGATTTGATAAGATACACACATTAGTACACATAGTACACATAGTGTGTGCACAATGCATGAAGTTCTTTTTCGTGTCTTGCTCTTTAACGGAAAAATACACACAAAATGATGTCAAAATATCCTCGTAAACACAGCCAGTTTTGTCTTAAGTGAATGTAAACAGTTAAGAAAAACAATGTATGTGTAACAGTATAGGATATTGTTCTGTAGGCTGCTGTTAATTGTATTCATCAGCAACAGAATATTTAGCAAAAAGACAGAATAAATATGTTTGATATCTAAATATTGACTTCTTTTTGTTTTTACCTTATTGTAATTGAGACTGGGAATTGATAAGAATCGTGATTGATCAAATTAAAACGATTTTTAAATTTTTTTCTGCTTGAGGATAATAAAAACCCCCAAATATTAAAAAGAATAGTTCATCAAATATGAAAGTCTGGCATCATTTACTCACCCTCATGTTGTTCGAAACCTGTAACATGTATCTTGTATCCATTGGAACACAAAGGCAGATGTTTTGCAGAATGTTCACACTTCTCTTTTCCATACAATTAACATTTACAGAGACCAAATGTTGTACAGCTGGTGGACAAAAAAATACTATAGAAGTAGTCCAAACAACTTGTGTTCTGTATTTCAAGTGTTCTGAAGTCAATTATAGTTTTGTTTGTGGAAAACAACCAACATTTTTTATTATTTACATATTTACAAAAATATATATTTACAAACTGGCCTGTCCTAATTTTTTTTTTTTTTTGTAAATGTGAAAAACAACAGTCTGGAGTCAATTGTCTTCATGTGGCAAGTATATGAGCATGCACAAATGGGATTTGAGGGGCTATCAAGATCTTTTTTGGTCCCTGGTCACCATATGCTTTCACAGTATGGAAAATTGCACAGTGTAATTATTCTTCAAAACATCTTGAGGGTAAATATATGATGACCCAATTTTTATTTTTGGGCCACCTATTCTTTGATAAATAAAAATTGTTGGAACTTCAATGAACTGTCAATGTGAGAGGGAATCTGGGCCTGCTCAACAGGTTCTTCATATATGCGTAGAAAGCTCAATGGCTTGCACCGACACACATTTAAAGGAAAGGAAAGAGGAGCACTGAAGGATCGTAAGAGAATCATGTGCGGTACAGCGTGACACTTACCTGCATGTATCTGATCTGCAGCATTAAGGAGGCAAAGCAGCAAATGTAAGCAGAGCAAGTGAACACGCGCACAGCCATGGGAAATGACAGGAAACAATCCATCTACTGTATATCCTCTCACACACGCACCAATGAGGGTCGTCCGTATGGTGTCTCACTCACCATGGGCTGTCTAACCTCCACCTTGATGATGTCCTCGTAGATGTCGTCCCCATCATCCTCGCAGGGAACGCAGTCATATATGTCGTCCTCTCCCACATCGTGCTCACTGTGCAAAAGAAAGGGCACAAAAGGAAAGAGTGGGTTAAAATACCTTCTTTTTTTTTAAACAGATCTGACAAGCATTTGAGCACCAAGGCATTTTCTGAGTTTTATCAATTTATTGTTCTGAGAGTAATTTTCTGTCTGGAAGATAGTACGATAAAAATAAAATAAAAATTAACACTTATTTAGGCAAGGATGCATTAAATTGTTCAAAAGTAAGAGTAAAGACATTTGTAATCTTACAAAAATATTTTTATTTCAAATAAATGTGGTTCTTTTGAACTTTCTATTCATCAAAGAATCCTGGGGAAAAAATGATTGGTTTCCACAAAAATATGTGTTCAACATTGATAATAATAAGAAATTTCTTGAGCAACAAATCAGCATTAAAGAATGATTTCTGAAGGATCATGTGACACTGAAGACTGGAGTAAAGGCTGCTGAGAATTCAGCTTTGCCATCACAGGATTAAATCATTTTAAAATATAATAAAGTATAAAACATTTATTTTAAATTGATAAAAATTCACAATATTACTATATTTACTCTAAACAAATGTGGCTTGGTGAGCATAAATAACATACAGTCGTAAATGGCAGTACTGTATGAGGTGGCAAAGACTAGAACGTACTGTGTCCTAACCAGTCGCAATACTGAGAGACACAATGATATGATGGAAGAGATGGAGATGCACGAAGGAGATGATGCTGATGCTGAGTGTAACATCACTCCTGGTTACACAACAAAGTGTTTGAGACAGAATTATGACATATTTCTCCCAGTCAGTGTCATCACATATACAGTAGTTTGCAACCCTGATAAGCTTGTGTATGTGTTTATCAGACATCGAAAAAGCCCTGAGACCGCAGCGATGCCATCCATCACTGCACACTCTGCCATCGTTCTCTCAGGGGGAAAAAGGGAATGGCCGAAATAAAGGAGGCTGACATCACAGAAGGCGTCCTGGTCCCAGCTGTGCTCTCACACCAACAATCAAATCAGTCATCCATTCCTCTCTAAGAGAAGAACTCACTCTCTCAAACATACACACCAGACTGCTTTGCAACCAGTCAGCAACAAGTACCTTGCTCACTTCTGCTGATCGTGTCCAATCTGTAACGAACGAAACATTGTGCCGCACATTATTGTGTGGTGTGCCCTTTAAGAGACTGATCACATCATTCATGGCGTGCGCTATGCGTTATGACGTTGTTGAGTTGTGAGTGTGAGATGAGAACCACAGTAGAGGATAAGTGTGATCTACCTTCATGCTATACTTTTGTTTTCTTACTTCATTTTGTGATGCAAAAAAAAAAAAAAGAGTGAACCCTCATGTATGAGAGGATCGCGTTGCCTGTGTACCTGCTATATAAATGTGCGTAATAGTCTTTTTGCCTTGAAGCTCTTTCTTCCATTGCTTTCACGAGAGTTATCCTGGTCAAAGCGTTACAAATTGCAGGCTAAAGCAAGCGTGAAAACCTAATGTGGCTTAAATCAAACGCCTACCCAGGAGATTAGCTCACTGCCTCATCAGCTCATGGAGAACTGAAATACAAATGCATTCCTCAATCCAGATAAACTGGCTACCCACCTAAAAACCTACTTGGCGAGGCTGGGAGACTCTTTTAAACTAGCTAAAACTATCATAAAACCACCAGCTTAATCAGCCAAGACCAGCAAACCAGGTTTTCAGCAGGGTTTTGAGTTACCAGGCTAGCTGCTCAATCCACAGCTACAACATCCCACATCCCACACTTGTGTCTGTAGAATACATGCATATCTAAGCTATCACCATGCAAGTTTATAAACAAAGCAGTTTCACTGAATCATGGGAAAAGACTGGCGTAGATGGATGGAAACCAGCCAGAGTGAGTTGCCAATTATTGGAGGATTTTAGGATTGTTAGTCTGGCAAGAGCTGCTGGGTGTTAATCCATCAGCGTGACCTTCTATACCTGCACATCCAGAACAGCTGCACAGTTTTATAAAGAACTTCATCACCTTCAGTCACTCATCTGACTTTCAGAACAAATAATACTTAAGAAATAATACTTTTTATGTATTTTATTTATTTGAGAGACTGAAATTCTTTGGTTTGCACCTGTGGCTGCTAAATAAGAGGAAAAAAAATACTGTGAACAATATATATATATATATATATATATGTGAAATTGTATGTATGTATATATATATATATATATATATACACACACACAAAATTAAATGAAAGTAATAAAAATACTGTAATTCATGTAAAGCCACTAGAAGGTTCAGAGGAGAGCTGCGTGTCCTGTCAACAAACACCTCCTTCAAAGGACCAGTTAAAAAAAAGGATGAAATGGTCAAATAGACAAAGTTTATTGAACTGTCTTTCATTAAAGCAGTGTTTTACAGCAGGAGCAGTATGTGGATAAGACTACACTCACTTTGAAAACCCTATGAGAGAACTGTGAAATTGCTGAATTCAAAATAATTACCTTTTTGAACATGATTTGAATGTCGTTCCTTTTTCAAAATGACAAAACATGACATGCATGTGTATGTTTGAACAGTAGGTAGGAATGGACAAGCTAATAAAAGAAAGGTGGTGGCATCAATCTAACATTCAGCACTGTGTCCACATGGAGAAGGGATTGTTTGAAGTATTAATTGAGGTTGTACAGTTCACCCTGAAGGACGGGTGGCTTGCTGCCCTCCCTCATTAGCTGAGTTGACTTTCCCCAGTAGCAGAGCTGCTGTCTGACAGAGCAATGTAGACTGAGGGAAAAAAACTTTACTCCTCTGAAGCACACTGGTCCCAAACTGCAAAGGAACTGAGGCAAAAAGATTTCTAATGGCATCTATTGTGTGACCTCCAATTCCCTGAGGACAAGCATTAACTGCACTATGTGAGGTGCAGTGATCTGTCCAAAGGATTGTAAGGTTCTGTGTGTATCAGGTAGAATAAATGAAAGCAGAATGTGTCAAAAAAGGAGCTTTTTTTTTTTGCTCACTGTGGTTTAAATCTGGATGGCAAAAATAGGATGTCCACTTTTGTATGCAAAGACATGACCCCATTAAGTGTCATTATGTTAAATCAGTATGAGTGAGCACAAAATGCTGCTTTATACAAGTATACAAAAATCAAAAGACCAGCTCTGCTGTCAAATTAATGTTATTAAGGCTGATCCAACTTGTGGTTCGGTTGAGTGGGCATTATACAAATACATCTTATGAGTGCAAATGAAAAAATCTGGTTTGATTCAATATGGTGTAAATTGACACTCAGTATATCGAAAGTGTGGAAAGATTCTCCATTTAGGTCGTGAAATATTTTGTGGTTTCATGCTGTCTAAGCCATCATGGTCACTCAAAAGTGCTGATTTTACTTGTGTTACAGCATTCTTGAACATTTCCTTCACTTACCCAACCACAAACCCAGAAAGGGAAAACTGTTTAGAGCAGAACAAAGGATCCATCCCAAACTCATAACAGTATGTCAATAAAAGTTAACTTCATCGCACACTGTCATACTAGAACTGATCACAGTAATTCGGGATGAAGTAATAAGAGGGAAGATAAGGGGAACATTGATAACACTGGCAGAACATATGGACTCATGGCATGGCAAGAAAAGGCAGTCAACATTTTGCATATCTGTGAGATGATGTGATAGTCCTAGACTATCTTAAAGCCTTTCTGAAGACAACAGGTATAGTGGTTTACTCATAATAGTGATATATCAGTTTAATAATAGCAAATTAAATTAATTTCCGAATTCCATTTTGGCTGTTAAAACTAAGCTGTTTTTTTGGCGTCTTTCTGCGGTTGAATCAGTGTTTGAATCAGTGTTGAATCAGAGCGATTACATGAAAGACATAATATGGATTTCGGTAAGTTGGACTATATCTTTCAATATTTTCTGATGTTCATTCATGTTTATTTCATTTAGCCTATTAAATGGCTTATTATCATTAAAATATGAAAATTAAAATGACGGGTAATAGATTATGACAGAATTTGTATGACCCTGTCCGTCAAAATGACTAATGCGACCTCTGGCTGGGGCTACATGAATCATTTTAGTTGCATTAACTGAAACTGGGACGAGGATTGCTAGTTCTCAGCATGCGTTGCATAGAGCTGGATCAGAAGAGTAAATGTTAAAATTAAGTGTTATTTTATGTATTTTTGAGTGGTGGGAAAGACCTGTTAATGTTTAATGTTCAGTTATGGCATTTAAAATAGTTTCAGTTATGTTGAAATGTTTGTGGTTACCACAGTGCTGAAGAGTAGAACTTATGGTTAGGTTGTGGGTGGCTGCATATGTTAGGACTATAATATATGTTACTTCACTCAATGAGCAATAGCTGTGCAAATGCTAGTGCAGTATCAAGAAACTACCTACTTGCACTACGATAGCTGCAGAAAGCCTTTTAGATGTACGAAAATAAATGAATGTCAAGGTCTTTTCCATTTACTCAAAATCACAGACTTTAATATAAATGAATCCTGAAATAACTAAAAAACATTGACTAAGGTCAAATAAAATATGCTTTAAATGAAGATAAATTAATTGTGAATAAAATCAAAAAGCCATTTTTTCAGTGTAAAGAAACGTTAATTTTAATGAAATCTTTGTCATATGCTACCTATAGAATGGCTTGTGAGGGCTAAATAAACAGTAATGTGGCATGTTGATGGAAACGTGGATTCTTGGAGCAGCAAACTACTTGGTTGAGATGTTCTGCACATTATTTGAGGATTCTACTGAATGTTAGTTAAATTTTCAAACCCGTCCATCATCTTGACTGAATAGGTCGCTGGCTGCAGAGTTCAATCTGAGGTGCCAGGAGAGACAGGTGCCAATGGCAGTAGTTTTTACCTCTCGAAGGCTTAGAGAGTGATTTGGCCTGAGGCCCCACTACCCACAATGCCTCAGGCGAGAATATAACATAGTAGCAACCAGTTAGGATGAAGTAAATCATTGCTGACATGATGTACAACCAAACATCTGATTGCTATT